AGTGATCAATAGCATGAGCATCGATCAACAGAATTGGGATACAATGACATATGTCAACCAAGTCAGCAAGCCTGTACACACGATCACGTAGTTGCCTCCAACGACAAGCATGGATTGCTGAAGACCAACTCTAACCCTGATCTTCACTGGTTTCATAATTCGTTCCGTAGAAACATTTTCGCCATATACACCATTTGTTGGACATTTAGAAACCGACAGTATCGGTAGGTTAGTATTTTAGCAACACATGTTGAGCTATCGCTAACTTTCTCACTGTAAGTCAATCAGAGTTTGTCGTCACCGTCACCTCGTGGTCTGAACATCTGAACGTTTGAACGTCGAACATCGGGATATAATCACTCATTAAACTGACCTCTGGTGATGCAGCTGAAAACCTCATCAAAGCTGTTCTAACAACTTTACACTCTCAATTCAGCTGTCAAGAATCATTGCAGTGTGCAATGTATACACCTGTCAGAGCACTTCTCAACCACCATAGTCAGAGGACGCGGTCAGCAGCACTTTTACTGACGCATCAGTTCGTTAGGCATATGCATTTCAGTTTATCCCCCCCACGTTCTTTGTTGTTGTTTATTTGAAATATATCTGTTGGTACATTAGTTATATCCAGAATATGATCAATTAACTGTTACTCCCTTTTAAGGGGCTTTCGAGGATTTGCTATTATCATCGTAATTTTACGACACTTCAATCAGTCTAACCGTTGCCTAAAGACACTCCCTGTTTGTACATGTATCACGTCAAATACACTTGCACATCTTGGACAAATCTTATATTTATAGTTGGGTGTTCTTTTGGACTTAGATGATAAATATACAAGACATGTGATACATCGATCGTTCTCTCTATCCATTTAGCTATAGAAGTGTTCAGTGTGAAGAACAATATATACCCGTCCTATGTTCTATTAAGTAGAGGGGCAGTTGGGTAGCCTTGTGGTTCGCTCGTCACGCTAAAGACCCAGGTTCGATTCCCAATATGGGCACAATTTGTGATGCCGATTTCTGGTGTACCCTACCGTGATATTGCTGGAATATTGCGCAAAACCAAACTCACTCTCTCCCTATTAAGTAGAACAAGTGTAACAAGATAGATTATCCTGATTTACCCGTAAAACAATATGTTTCATTTAGTGTCCATACATGTGGAACAATATCTTTCCGATAGGTTGAGAAACTGTATGCAGATATATTTTGGTTTTTGAAAGTTTGACGTTTCGTTTGCTATTAACTGTACTTCCATAAGTGCTACAACATTCAATGTATCACCCTATGTCAGAAGAGGGTTTCAATAGTTTCTTGTCGTATGAGTAAAAGGATTAATGAGTTGATGGTGTGTCATTGTATCCGACATTACGAATCATTGCTCATTGTACCTTCCGCTAGATTGCTTTGTCGTACGTACATCCTACCCGTTTACTAATGTATCTGGAATATTATTTATCAAAGACTAACATCTAGAGCATTAACACATTAATACCTTGTCACACGGACCTAGAGATAAATGAGTGCTGCAATTGTTCCTGTTTGTGTGCCGTTCAATACAAGACCCTGCACAGTCCTGATACGAGTCCTGGTCCTGGTCCTAGTGATGGTTCTAGATTCTCCTCCGCATACTGCTCAACACTCACTTGGTCCAATTTCCGTGAACAAAATTGACATATTTCTTCATAGCAGAGCTGCATTTTATATTAAAGTGTCTCTTTTACAAAATACATTTTGTTTCCATAAGGAATGGACACAACCTTGTTCACATTCACTTGACGAGAAGGTGATTACAAACTGCAGTCTCAGAATAATCTCCGGTAACAGATCCTGCTCCTGGTGATGGTTCAAGGGCCTACTTCACACGAGGACGAACACACTCACTTAATAACACTCCAAATATAATGCCCCGTAAACTGGGCATATCAAATTACGTAAATCCAAAACCTAAAACAGGTCAATGTATTGGTGAGGTTTGAAGACCTTTGTGCCACTCAAAAGAGTCACACTGTTCGGTGATAGGGTGTGCTCACTCCAAAATGTGATAATCTGCAAATATCTCACTTTTTAACTTACAAATTTCATTAACTGTTCATCATTTATGATAACTGGTGTTTAATACAGCCTTTCGTATTGTTATTAGTGGTGTTTCATAATGTTTACAATTTCGATTGTTTTGCCTAATACATGTTTACCATGTATTAAACCACGATAACGCGAGTTCTCTCCCTTTATTTGTCGAATTTTCTGCACATGCACCTGACAACTCACAATTATGATAGGTTTTGTATCTATCCTTATTAGCAATACAAAGTTAATCTAACAGGTACTTTAAAAACAAGCACACTAAAATGTGAAATGTATCTTCATTCTTTGATTATCACACCACTCTCCTGAATATTGAATCCAAATGATACAAAAATTGAGTTTAAATCAGTGATCGACATCATGAGCACCGACCTGCTCCATTAGGATACCATGATATTACACATTGCACGCAGACAAGTAAACTATGCTCCATAGTGACCCTTTCATCTCTTTTGATTTAATGTCATATCTCTATGTTTCTCATTGGGCAAATGTTCACGAATTCCAAAACCTGATGCGTTACATGGACAAAGGGAGGTAATCCTGTATTGGATCACACGAAGCGGTCGTATAATACTCATACTCATTTATATTGAAGGAACAGATACATCCCTCATCTCAATTACAGGATATTATGAATTAATTAGGTCTTATCTGACAGTACCGAATGTCAAATTGGTGGTTACAACTTATTAACGTTAGCGTCCCCTATTCCGCCTCGTCATGAATTCCTGTAGGGACAGTAGGGTAGCCTAGTGCTGAAAGGGTTCATAAAATGCCGAGGTTCGATTCCCTACATGGGTACAGCATGAAAAGTCCATTTTAGGTGTCCCCCCGCGTGATATTGCTGGAATATTGTTAACATCTCTGTAAACGCCAACCCCATATCCATACCTGTATAAAATATGAACACAACGTTAAACCCAATGTTTTTTTAAGCTGCAGTGTTCTGTTGTCACTCTTGTCGTCGAAAGCTCAGATGCTCTTGGGCTCACTGGATATATGAATCAGTCAGTGAGTGAGTATGTTTTTACGCCGCTTTTAGCGATATTCCGGCAATATCACGACGGGGAACACCAGAAATGGGCTTCACACACATTGTACCCATGTGGGGAATCGAACCTGGGTCTTCAGCGTGACGAGCGAACGCTTTAACCACAAGGCCACCCCACCGCCCCACACTGGATATATAGTTTGCAGATATATAGGTATGGGGCACCACTTCCCTCAGGCAACACCCGAGAAGGTCCGAGTTAGAACTGGTCGTCAGTAACCCACGCTTGTCGAAAGAGGCGACTATCGGGATCGGGTGTTCAGGCTCGCTGACTTAGTTCACACTTGTCATTGTATCCCCCTTTGCGTAGAACGATGCTCATGCTGTTTATTACTGGATTGTCTAGTCCAGACTCGATTATTTACAGACCGCCGCCATATAGCTGGAATATTGCTGAGTGCAGCGTTAGACAAGAAACCATCCAAACAACCCTCAGACAATCATGAATTCTCTCGACTGAACTGCTAAACTCTTTTTAACACTGTTTGTCTGTTGATTCACTGCGACCAATTTTGTGATGGTAGACAGATGATATCCAAATTTTATTGCCGCCTCAGTTGAGGTTGGTCCAACCAGGAGTAACGCCTGTCTAGAATTCAGCTAATCGACCTGTGTTTCCTGTCCTTATGAAATACTTGGTGTTTTTGTTTTTAATTAGAATTATGAATGATGGCCATGTCGGAAATGCACCCATTTGGCCATATTAGTTGCGCATCATGCGAGAAACAGAGAAGGCACGACTACGTTCCTGACTTGGAACAAGTGATGTACACAATGACCAGAGTCAATTCCATGTGCTTCCTTACGTTTGTATTCATTCCTTTTCACAAATTATTCTCGTTTGCACGTCACAAGGAGAAAAAACTCGACTTGCCAGTCTAAGTATAAAACGTAATGTAATAATGAGACTGGTGTCATCACTAACGTTCAGTCTACCCGTGAAGGTTCGGGTTAGAATATTGATATTCAGTAACCCTTGCTTGTCGAGAAAGGCGATTAACGGGATCGGGTGGTCAGGCTCGCTGACTTGGTTGACACATGTCATCGGTTCCCAGTTGCGCAGATCGATGCTCATGCTGTTGATCACTGGATTGTCAAATCACTACGCCTCGTCTTGACGCTGCGACACGAAATATCGCCCTTGAAAGAATGCACGCTGGAGATTACCAATCTTCTGTTGCCAGGCGTCTGAATGTTAGTCTGAGCACGATATTACCGATTGCAGCTCGTTGCAACCAAACAGGTATAACAAATGACCGTCCCCGTACAGGCAGACCTCGAGTCACCAATCAATCTTTCAATCTTTATTCTCTTTTTAACCAAGAGCATTGGATATAATATTGCACATAGATTTGATTTGATTGTTGAAAGGACGTTGCATAATTTACAGGTTCTGCGTAGCTTTAACACGGTTATTGATAATAGATATAAACTTAAGAATAGACAGTTTGTTGGATGCGAACAATGATTTCATCTTATACAAATTTGAGAATGTTCCAAATTATGAGATCTAATTTGAGTGATTGCCGAACATCTAAATAGATAATGGAATTCATCAGCTGTTGAAGGTGAGTTACAGAGATGGCAGGTTCTATTTTTTTGCGGGATGCGTTCCCAACGGCCAGATTTCTTGTTCTAAATAACATTGAGGGATATGATATTTCTTTTGGCAATAAGAGGTATTTTTCAAATGATTGGAAATCTTTCAGGACCCGATAATAAAATCCTTTGGAACTGCTGTGCTTCAGCTCAAGATCGGTACATCCGGGTACTACATTTGCGTGATCGTACTGCCACAGGTGAGAGCACAGCAGCCAGGGTGCCTGGACTTCGGAGGATATCCGTTCAAACTGCACTAAAGTCTGTTTGTGGACGAGTTATACATGTTTGAAAATACAACATTTTCGCAACAGATTTCTGGCGTATGCGTTTCATTTTGGGAATAGTATATATCTTCTTCCTGTCTTCTTTCTTCTCCTCCATGGCAATACATAAGGCCATAAGTAGACTGACAAAGTTTAATAAAAACAGAAACTAATTAATTCCAATATAAACAAGAATATAATCAATTACAAAGTGAATATAATACATACATATCCTTATTTACATATGGATCCAAGGATGGTGGCGCAGTTGCTTGCGCCAGTGTCTTTGGATCAAGAACAATATATTCTAGATTACCCGACGCCAGTTCAAGTTTCACAGCAGAAGCAAACGCCATATTAACAGTCCTAAATTATACTCAGCAGCAAAAGAAACGTCAGTACGAATTCAAAATTAGATCGGCTGTAATCAAATCATTACAGAAATGGACATAATAAGCGGATCAAACACTTTTTTGTGTACAATATCTTGACACATCAATGTATAACTCCACACAATTCCAAGACATTACATGAACGTTTGCAGTCCATTCAGACTCTTGACTTCAGTATCTAGTGTGACCACTACGAGCGGCAATAACTCCAGCACCACAGCGTCTATGCATGGAGTGCACTAATCCATTGATGAAGGCCATTGGCACCTGGAACCACACTCTGAGCAGTTGATACGCAGTACCGACTCTCATCTGTGAACAGAACAGTTCCCCATTGTCTGTATCGCCAGTTTTGGTGTTGTAGGGCAAACTGTAGACGTTCACGCCAATGACGAGGGGCGAGGATAGGTCCACGGTAATCTAATGCAAAGAAGGGACACTCAAGTAGGCATTAATAAATTACGTGCTATAAAACCCTATATTGGTTAATCTACTAGGGTTGTCAGTCCAGATTTGATGAAGTCATTTTAAGACGATGCCGTATTGGCCATACTCGATATACAAATGAATACCTGTTCAAAGGTGAGGATCCTCCGTTTTGCATCCTGTCATTCATGCCCTGCTTCACTTTATTAAACAAAAGGCAAAACAATGAAGGATCTTTTTAACAATGTCAATCATCATTTAGTTATCGGAATTGTAAAAGAAATAGAATTGATTAATACATTTTAATCGATATATTTTGTATATAGATATATATTTTATTATGGGTAGTTTCAATTTGCAACTTAGATTGTTAGTAGTTGTATCCTCACATGACGTTGAAGTATTGTAAAATATACTAAGTCAAAAAAGAAACTTCACAAAATGTCATTTGAAAAATAATGAATAATTTTTTTCTGATGATACATCTATGTATCCGAAATGGGATCCCTATCTTTCGACTCTAGAAAAACCCACTCAAACCCATCCATTCGTCATGCAAATGACGTTAGTGCCAAATCAGGTTTTGCACGTGCAGTCAATCACGTGATCTTCGCATCGAAGTTTTCTTCATATGCACGTGTTTGCATTGGCCTCAAGAATTGAAAAAAACACTTTTAAACCACAGTTCTAAAGGTACTTGAAATGCAACGATTGTCAAATGTGCAACGTGAACGTGCCGTTGGCATGTTGCAAGCGGGAAGATCAGTTATTGACGTCGCAAGAGCAATGGGATGCAGCCGTCGTACTGTGTATGACTTGCGAGGTCGTCTACAACAAACTGGCACCACTTCTGATCGCCCAAGGTCGGGTCGTCCACGTGTGACGTCACGAGCAGAAGACCGTCAAATCGTCCTACGTCACCTACATGACAGATTTCTGCAGGCTACACGAACCAGGGCTGAGATGTTTAGAGGTCGACTGTCCTCACAGACCATTCGAAATCGGTTGTGGGCTGCCAATCTCCATTCTCGACGTCCATATCGTGGGCCAATATTGACGTCGTTTCATCAACGCCAGGGGCGGTGGGGTAGCCTAGTGGTTAAAGCGTTGGCTCGTCACGCCGAACACCCGGGTTCGATTCCCCACATGGGCACAATGTGTTAAGCCCATTTCTGGTGTCCCCCGCCGTGATATTGCTGGAATATTGCTGAAATCGGCGTAAAACTAAACTCAGTCAGTCAGTCAGTCAGTCATCAACGTCAACGTCAACGTCTGCTGTGGGCCCAACGTCACCTCCGATGGACCCAGAGAGACTGGAATCGAGTCGTCTTTAGCGATGAATCCAGGTTTACCCTCAGATTCGCGGACGGCAGGCATAGAGTCTGGAGACGACGTCGTGAACGGTATGCCCAATGTTGTGTACAGGAAGTCGACAGATTCGGGGGCGGAAGTTGCATGGTGTGGGGTGCTTTCTGTGGGAACAACCGTTCCCGACTTCTGGTCATCCGTGGAAACCTCACAGCTGCTGCTTACCGCGACCAGGTGCTCACCCCCTGAACTCGTTCCTTTCATGGCGGCTCATGGCCCAGGTCTACAGTTCCAGCATGATAATGCTCGGCCGCATACCGCGATGTTGACACGAAATTTCCTTCAAAACGCTTGAATCAACGTCATGGACTGGCCATCGAGGTCCCCTGACCTTAATCCAATTGGCGCTGCCTTGCAAGAGCAATGGCGCAGAATCCCCAACCACGTGTTCACAAGCATCAGGCAGTCGATGAGGAGACGGTGTTTGGCAGTGGTGAATGCGCGGGGCGGCCATACACAATTTTGAACTGAGAAATTTCGCATTTTTATTCTTGTGACTTGACATTCTGTATACCCATGTTTTGGAACGGCGGTGTAGCCTAATGGAACTGATTATGGCACTGTCAGTGTATCGAGTACATCACACAGATCTCAGCAATGAAATAATAACAATTTAACCATCTTACCATCTCTTGTTCTTTTATAGTGCCCTGAAGAATGAATGTGAAGTTTCTTTTTTGACTCAGTATACATACGTTTTTGGAATAAACCCGTATACAGCCGAAGGCAAACCCCTCCTAATAAACCTGATTTAGTTCTTTTTATTAAAGCCAATGACTGAAGACTGTATGTGACTGTTTGTCAGTTTTTTAAGCCTTCTACTATGGTGATCAATTTCCTCGCAAAATATCCCCTACTTGTCGTTACATTATACGAATTAGTACATACATATCAACAGAATAACGCATCCTTGTAAACTGTTCACTTCAATACACTTCGGTGCAAGGATACTTGAATTACATTACATTCTATTATTGGTCTAGTCAACTTTCATCTCAAGAGCTGCCAGGGTCACCCTGTCACCTAAACGACTCAATATTTTCCGGGTAGCGCCTCCAACAATAAACCGTTTTCACATTGTGTAACACATTCGTCTCGTTTCTCTCCCATTCAGCTGAAACGGGGTTTCTTAATTTATTGCAACATGTCTGTTTCTCTGTATAGGGCAAAATGTAAAAGTGCAAACTAACGTCCTGTTAGTGCGGGGCAATTTATCGTTGTGTGGCAAACCTCAACAGTGACGTGCAGACAAACATAAAACACCAGGGTGGGGATTAGGGTTGAGCCTGTAGTTCTTAGATAAGGTGGATATGTTAAAATGTATTATAAACAAAAAGCAGACATGCAAGTATTGAGCACTTTAACAAGTCTGTACATGGTTGTGGGATATCTGGAGTTGTTGAAAGAGGCGTCACCCGGACTGTGAGTAATCTTTTGGTTTAATTATTCTTCCGGTTGACGTCAATAGTGTATATCCATTGCTTATACATTCGATCCTTTCGAAAATAGAATAAACTAATAATGTAAGAACTATTATTGTGCATTCTCCTTTAGTCGTTTAGCCGTTTCACTTTTGACCCGACACACACATTGGACCAAACCTTAAATATTTAGCCAATGACTACATTAATCGTCATATCTGTCAAATCAAAATTAATATAAGTCTTATCACTTTTACTGATAGTCAACATTCAATGTATAATTAAGAGGTACACAATGATATTCATGTTCAGTAACTACAGTCTGTTTTCTCCAAAATCGTAATAATGAATTCCTAATTACAAAGAGTTACAAGTAAAAGTCACAATTTTCACATCTTTCTTATTTGTTTTCCTGTACCAACTCACGGTGTAAATTTAGCGCATTAATATAAAGTAATAAAAAACTGTTTTACAAATTACCAAAAGATTGTTGTTGTTCTTATACATTTGATTACACGGGAGTCACAATCACTGTAACAGTCGAATGTTTGCACGTGAAATACATGTCGGTGTGATCATTCGCGCAAGGGATTTACCGTATATGATAGCATTCAAGTGAACACGTCTTAGAAAGGCACATAAATTGTTAGATATCAAATATATTTTGAATCAATATAATTCATTGGTGAAAAGAATCTTTAGATTGTTTATACATTTATGTGATAATATGAACATTCAATTTAAATGAAATCAATGTATACATAATACATATCATATGTATCCAATATCCAACACATATAATATACAATTTCGCAATTAAATACGGTACATTATGAAGTTCACTGATGACATGGAGAAGCTTGTCTATCAAGTTTGTAGCTTTTTTAAGACTGAAGGAGAGAGAGGGGGGCCTACATTATCCCTTCTAAATATCGGAAGAGATCCGCCAAAGCTCTTTGTATGACTGGCATACATTTTGCAGAAGAGAGCTGTGATAGACAAGACTAGTAACGGGATTGTCTCAAAGACAATTTCTGTAATAAAACTTGACAGGTTTCAAACGGAATGTCTAAGAAATACAATCCGAAGATTGCTTGCATGAAACAAGTTCATTTCATTAAGATTATTGAAATCATTCATGAAAAACGGACATTCGTTGTACAAACTTTGTCTTTGGAAGTTATTACATTCTTTGGATATTGCTGCAAAAAGATCTCAGGAAAGACAAGACATGTTTCGTGTGAGAGAAAAGATGTCGTCTCTTGAGGAACAATTACCTTTGTTCCATCAAGAAGAAGAGAGTAGAGGAATACGAGATTATCTACATTAATGAGACCTGGGTGAATGCTTGCCATACGGCACAACGTTAGTTGCCTCTGACGCCTAGACGTCACGCAAACTCCACCTTGGCAAAGGAGAAAGACTAATCATTTTACATGGTGGCTGTGAAAGTAAAGGATTTCTGCCAGGATGTGAATTGGTCTTGCAGTGACTACCATATAGAGATGAATGACTCCCGTTTAACCAAATGCAGTAGAACAACAGCAATCTTATGATAATTTGTTTAACAATTTTTTTATTACTTTATATGAATGAAAACAAATAAGAAAGATGTGAAAATTGTTGACGACTTTTACTTCTAACGTCTTGTAATTAGGAACCCATCGGTACGATTTTGGAGCAAACAGACTATAATTTCACTGATCTGTCACTACAGGCTCATCCTTGGTGATTAGCGAGTCGTTCACCCCTTGTAAATGCGACAGTATTTCAAGTATTAATTCTGTAAACCTACCACGGAGTCAGACACTAATATCTCATCGTTAGCAAACAGTACGATTAAAATCTCCAAAATATTAGGATAGTTCTGTACAGCATTTTTGACTTAATACAGTATTTCATTTTCTAATTATTTGATGAAGAAAAACAAAAGGACTGGAAATCATCCTTTTTGAAAGCCTAACGGGCATTCTAAATAGTCAGTGACTCAAATCAGACACGAGATGTACGTAATTCTGTACTTGAAATCAACAATGTTTGACTGTCCTCATCGTCAACAATGATGTAATAACATTATGTAAAAGAAGGTGTCGGAAATGGTATTGTTGCGCATGTAGAATAGTTATTATATTAACGAATAACCAAAATTGTTATGATGAATGTTTTGGGAAGACTGTAATGCTGACGATTAGAGAACTTTCTGTTGGCTTGCACAAAGTTACTACGTTCCCGCTCAACAGGCGCCAATGCACAACCTCCGACAACTGCAGCATGCGTGCTAAATCCTGTCGTATTTGAATTCCATAATACGTATTATTACAAAGATGTTGATGTTTGTTTCCAACCCGAATATACAAAAATACAATTTACCGGAGTTACGAAATGTACGATACAGTATCAATATATATATCCAACGGCTCTGCAGGTGTACAATGAACGCTGAGTGTCGCCATAGGCAACACATAACATATCATAACATAACATAGTTATGTGTCGACTATGACGTCACTCAGCTTTCATTGTACACCTGAAGAGCCGTTGAACGGCGAAAGATCTTGTGCAGATTTAAAGGAGATTTGACAAGAAGAAATATCTGGACTCATATGTTATATATTTATTGCTTATACACCTGCAGAAATCACTTCTTATTGTATGTATATATATATGTGTGTGTGTGTGTGTGTGTGTGTGTGTGTGTGTGTGTCTTGTGATAAATAATAGGTCCATACTCTTAGTTTTAAATGCAACAACCCATAGGTAATTTTGCGAATATAAGCCTCATGTAACTGCGGCTAAAAAACAAAACAAAGACAAATATACTGTGTTTCTTTCCGAACATTATCTTTGTGTAACCGTAAACAGCTTCAGCGACAAAACGCGGCAATTTTAACGTTTTCCCTCGTTTTAAAAGTGTTTGAAGAAATATTCTTACAAACGTCACCAAAACATTCAAGCAAAGCAGAATGCACATGCGAGTAAACGGGAAAGCATGCGGTATCCATCACTATAAAAAGGCAAACGTTGTGTTTAATATTGCCATTAGTTTTTGCTTGGACAAAAAGGAAATCATCATGTCACGACTGACTGCCGCCAATCGAAACATCCCCATTGGTCGCCTTGAAGCTGGAGAGTCGCAGTCTGCAGTTGCCCAACATTTCAACAATCATCAGAGCACCATATCTCGCCTTTGGGATCGTTTCCTGCAGACTAATTCCGCCCAAGATCGCCCGAGAAGCGGCCGTCCAAGAGTTACCACCCAAGTCCAGGACCGCTACATCCGGGTTGCTCACTTCCATCATCGTCTTGCCACAGCCGTGGAGACTGCACAACACATCCTTGCTTTGAGAAGAATTTCCTACCAAACTGTCAAGAAATCGATTGTGTGAAGTGGGGATTTGATCAAAATGGCCGGTTGTCGCCACTGTTTTGAGAGACTTACATGGGCGCAATGGCTTGCGGCGGTGTCGTAGAGTCCGGAACTGGAACCTTAGAAACTAGAGGCGAATCTGGTTCAGTGATGAATCACGATTTCTTCTTCACCGGCGAGATCGAAGACAGCGTGTTTACCTTGGGAGAAAATAACGTTTTGCCACTAATTGAAATCGACAGGTCAACAGATTCGGTGGAGTCTGTGTCATGTGTTGTATATAGGTATATAGGTATTTGATAGCAAATCGGTACATCAACAAAGTCCTTGGACGTCACATGCTTCCGATTATGGACAGACAGAGGGAGTTGTTCCAGCATGACAACGCTACTTCACATACATCACGCGTCACGGTCATCTACCTTGCCAATTCTAACGTCAGTCTCTTGCCATGGCCTTCCCGATCACCAGATCTAAACCCAATAAAACACCTATGGAACTCGATCGACGTGTAGGTCAGCGTCAAAACACGCCTCAGACACTTCCACAACTGGCAATCACAACTGGAAGAGTTATCCAGTGTGTGCCGAGACGGTGCCGAGCAATCAATGGTGGCCATACAAAGTACTGACTTTGATGTGACCTTGTGGACTCAAGTAAACAGAAACAAAACATTAAAGGCTGCTGTTGTGTTGGCGAACTCTGTGTCTCTAGACGTGTGATTTTCACCCTTTTACCATTGAAATTACATGAAAAAATTGGTCTTAAACTAAAGCTAGCTTATTTATTTTAACATGTGTCT